CGGTGGCAGTTTCCAAACAAAAGCAGGCTCTAGTTTGTGTCATATTTGTAGTATATATACATACAAGTACCGCGCCTCGATGGCTTTCCAAATAGCAAATCTTAAAAGGTACTTGTGTAGGCTCGGCGCTCTCGTCCGATTCACCAAGGCTAGTTTTTTCTTATCAGGTACTCTTACTTAGCTTTAAAATTTGAGTTAAATTAAGTGAAACTCAATTAATTAAAAGAGCCGAAACTGATATATATATATATTTTTTAATTTTTGTTAATTATAATTAAGGTGATCAACTAACCTTCATATCAAACAATAAACTGAGTGCTGCAGGTTTGGTCTTTGGTAATACCGTGGCCGAATATTCATTTTTAGGTTTCTTGATTGTATTTATCCGAAAAAATTCGGGATGGGACAGCCTGTGGTATGAGGTATTGGTTTCCACTGCCCGAGAGTGCTTCTCAGCATTTTTGGCCAGTATCCTAGCATACGCAACGCATCAACGCGTACGTCCAGTCAGAATGATTCTAGTCAATCATGCAATTTTCATCATTGTAAGTTCATTTTTCTTTTGGAATCATATATATAATTCCTCTGGTTAATTAATTAAAAGAACTATATTTTAAAGTTATTAAAAGTTGTAATTAAAAATCTATTTAATTCTAATATGTACTGAAAAAGAGGTTAGTGTAGTTGTCCTCTTAACTTTTTTTAATACTTAAAACTTTATTTTTTTTAGAGGTTTAAGTACAATAAATTTTTAAAAACCAACAATTAAATTAAGTATTCTATTCACATTGATTCATAAGTGTTAATTTCAAATTAATTGGAACTTCCTAAAATTTTGGTTACGAAGAAGTGTTTCAATATACATGTCATCGTAACATGTTCATCGTTCTTGTGTTAGGGTATGCTGATGCTACGGTTTCATCATCCGATTTTGTTTTTCTTGGCATTGGCACTTTTATCAGTGGACATTTCAGCAGACAAATATATGGACGAGTTTCTCATTGATCAATCGACAGTTGATCAACCAACAGTTACTCAATCAGAACAGGTTGCAGGTCAATTGACAGTTAATCAATCGAAACAAGTTACAGATCAACCAACAGTTACTCAATTAGAACAGGTTGCAGGTCAACCGACAGTTAATCAATCGGAACAAGTTACAGATCAACCAGCAGTTAATCAATCGAAACTGGTTATAGATGCTTGGTGGTTTATAGCAGGATTAGCAGGGGCCGTTATGGGCGGGCTGCGGATATCAAGACTTCCAACAAGTGCACAGCTCTTTATTTCAGCAATTTTGGTGGGAATTGGTTGCATATCAGTCTATTATTATAGCAAACGTTATGAGGTATCTTCAGGAGATCATGAAGGGGAAAAGCATGAATTAAGGCCGCTTCTGAAGTTACTCCCTCTGTGGGCACCTTTTCTTATATTTTATGTTGTTGATGCGGCAGGTAGCGTCTTCTTTGATTATGAAGCTTATTTGTATATAATACAGAAATTTTCTGGAATCATAGTGTCGCGTTTAATTGATTATGTGATCGTAAAGTTTTGCGGCAAGGTAAACCAACAAGTACAACAGCGCATTAGGCTAGCGAAGATTATTTTCGGGATGTTGGTTTGTTTTTTGCTCTGCATTGACGCTTGGCATGTTCAGGCTAAAGGAAAATCAAAAGGCTCATTCACCTTCACTCTACAGTTTATCTTGTTAGGAATTATGAACGAAATGGTTAAAGAAATGTTGGGAGAATACTTCCGTGACCAAGTACCAGATCAATCCATGCATCATTTGGAATTCACATTCAATAGCTTTGTGGAAGGAATGGGACGATTGTTAGCTGTGGTATGTATTCTAGTTTCTAGAAATTGGATTGATGAGAAGATCGAAAAGATAGGAGAGGTCAAAAATAGCCAATTAGACAAATGCTTTCGAACATTGGCATTTATGAGCTTATGTGCCTTATTTATGTTCGTATATCTATCCAATACCTGTTATTATAAGAAAAAAACAGAGGATCGTGATGTCAATTTTGAGAACTTGGAAGTGGGTAGCGTCAGCCTCAACAGTAGCCGCCCTTGGGAATCTCAATCTTCCTCTCTACACTCATTATCAATATCACAATCCACCGCTCACTTCCCAGGCATTGAATTCGTCTCTGCAAGTTCAGAAGCAACAGTACTCCCAAACTTCGAGAGTGCAGGATCCTCTGTTAATAGAGACTACTGGTCAATTGTAAAAAGGTAATTATCTATTTTTCTTTTAATTTTTTTCTCCCCTCTTTTCAAACTTTATTATATTAATTTTTGATAAAAATATATGAAACATCTAGTTACCAAATATGCCATCGCTTTTTAAGGTACATCAAGGAACGCCGAGGAGCGAAAGAAAAGTCTAGTTGATAACGATTGCTTCACAAACTTGTTCTAAACTACTGTGAGTGGTTTCACTTTTGATGACAGTGATCTGTTATTTTTATGTTCTCATTTTGTGCTGCTCTGTAAGTGTTTATGGCTAGTTATGTTATGGATGTGCTTAATTGTTAAGATTCATCGTAATTAATTCTTGTATGACATAACTTGTGAACTTTTGTATATATGACCCTTTGTATTATATATGATTGTGCTTATGTTACAAATACTTATATGGTTTGCTATCTTGATTTTTACTTGTTCTACATTAAACTCTATTCTAGACACCATTTGCGTGCATATAATAAAAGTACTAATATTTTTACATACGTAAGAATGAAAAAAAAATTTATGCATTTTTATAATTATTTTATTTATGTAAATCATAGATGTTAAATTTCAATTGATGATATTTGTAACTATTTAATAAAAGAAACTTTACATTTACTAATATAAAATTTTGTGATGTTAATTCAAAAAAAATATAAATAAAATAAATTTGTAGTTACCTTTCATTGAAGCAGAGCAAAAGAAAGAGAGGCAAATTTGTGGGTCTCTAATTGGGCCTTGGTTTGGGTTCAGTTTTTTTTTTTTTTTTTGAGCAGCAAAAGAAGTTTGTTTATTTATTTACAGTATAAGAGGTACTCCAAACCCATATTACAAAGAGGGGAAAAAATGCAACCCAGGCTGTAATAGTCATATGGTTTGGAAATCACATTTTTTTTTTTTGAAGGCTTAATCTTGGTTGTTGTATCCAATCCGAGAGTGTGATCCCTTTCCCTTCACCTTTGACTTTGAGCCATTGGTATGAATGGGGCTTGCACCAAATCAAATAGCTTCCTCTCATCCAAGCATTTGTTCTGGAATATTACCTCATTTCTTGCCAACCAGATGGTCCATGTAACTTCAAGCCATATAATGTCCCAACCTTTTTTGACAGTTGCGTTGGTGAGAAGATCTTTGTGCTGAGTGAAGGCATCCCAACAAGTTTTTGGCATTACATGTTCGATTCCCCACCAACAAAAGCATTTTGACCAGAGCTTAAAGGCTATTTTGCAATGAAGAAATAGGTGGTTTGAGTCTTCAACATCACCATTGCAAAAGACACAGTCAAGTCTATCGTGAGAGTTGCACACTCCTTGTTTTGACAAGTTGAGTTTGGAGGGTATACGATTTTGAATTAATTTCCAAGTAAATGCACAAACTTTGGTGGGGATATTACGATTCCATATTTTGGAGCTGATGCTAGGATCTATAATTCACTATTAGGGAGCAAGTAAGGAGTAGGCTTTACTAATGTTGTACATACCATCTTTGTTGTGTTTCCAGCTCCAATAATCTTGAATCCCATGTTGGAGTTTAACCCCATTTAGAATAGTCATAAGGGAATCCATTTGGGCTCTTTCCCTATGCAAAGGCATTCTTCTCCATGGAACTTTCCAAATCCAAGTGCCATTTGTCTAGTTCCCCATTTGGTTAATTGAATGTTGTTGACTTGTAGATAGTAAATACAATCTAGGCATTTTTCAACAAGAGGCCCACACCCAGCCCAATCATCCCACCAAAATCTAACTAATGCTCCTTTTCCAGTTTAAATTGAAACCCCCCCTTTAGCCACTCATTAGCACTGCCCCCCAAATCTTCTAACTTACATAAGTCTCTCCACCAGAGTGAGCCCTTATCATTGCCCTCCCTCAACCAACACAACCAATTATCTCTATTATGACCATATTTCTCTTGAATTAATTTACTCCATAAGCTAGCTTCTCCTATGGCCAATCTACCCCACCACTTCCCTAAAAGAGCTAGGTTGAACCTCTGAAGATTTCTCACCCCAAGCCCTCTGTCAAGCTTACTTTTGCAAACTCTTTCCCATTTGACCCAGTTAATGACTCTCTTATACTCCTCTCCCCCCCATAAAAAATTACGTCTGAGTTTATCAAGAGTATGAATAATGCCTTTAGGAAGCAAGTAGAATGACATGAGGAAGATAGGAAGACTGGATAGCACAGAGTTGAGAAGGGTAATTCTCCCGCCAAAAGACAAGAGTCGATTTTTCCAAGAGTAGAGTTTCTTTCTGAAATTCTCAATGAAATCTTTCCAAAAGCCTAGTCTTCTCAGGTTGCCTCCCACCTTGATTCCTAGATATTTGAAAGGCATAGATCCTAATTGGCAGTTGAGTAGGCATCCCCTTTTCTTGAGCCAATTAGAGTCTGTATGGATCCCTATAAGCTGGCTTTTTCTGTATTTTATTTTCAGTCTAGAGACAATTTCAAAGGTCCTTAAAATGCACTTTATTGCCCACAGGTTATCGTTAGTAGCCTTCCTACAGATCAGTGTGTCATCTGTGAACTATAGGTCAGTGACCTTTAATCCTTGTGTCCTGACTTCGATTCCCTTCAACAATCCTCGGTTTATAGCTGAATTGATAAGCCCATTCAAACCTTCAACTGCTATGAGAAATAGAAATCGAGATAAAGGTTTGGGTTCAGTTGCAGTATCAATTTATCAATTTTTGAGAGAAACAATGGGCTTTGGGTTTTGTTCTTTTTAGTTTTTAGTCAGCAAAGCCAAAATAATCAGCCCAAAAAAAACAACCTATACTAACCACAACAGAAAAAGAATTAGCTATTAAAGTATTTTGTTTTATAATCTAAATCATAAAATAGCAGCCTTAGATGGAGAGAAGGCCGGGTCCATCCCTTATTTAAGATTTTTTATTTTACAATTTAAATTGTAAAATAGTTTTTTTATAATTATTAATTAGTAGAAATAGCTTGGGAGCTTTTTCTCCTTCTTGTTGTTGTTGTTATTATTATTATTATTATTATTATTATTATTATTATTATTATTTTAAATAAGAGGTAGAAGTTTGAAGTTGCAAAGAGGAAAAAAAAATAGCCTCATTGCTTTTTTCAAAACTTAGGCTTTGATTTATTATAATTTTAAGTTTTTATTTTTTTATATATTTAATAACTATTATTATTTTTAAAAATAAAAAATTAGTATAAAAATTAAAATTTAGTAAATTTAATCCAAATATAACATTAGTTATTAAATATATAAAAAAAAAATCAAACCAAAACTTAAAACTACAGTAAAAGGACCTTAACTACTCTTTTGGCCATATCAATGGGACCTTGTTATACTTTTGTTATTAAAAATTCCCATTTTCCTTTAAAAAAAATTTCGAACTTAAAATGCTTATAGGATAGTTATTAAGAACAGCCCTCCAAAGTCCAAACAGGGTGTTGGAGAACTAAACTTGAATCATTAATTAATTATTTCATTTAAGTTCATATGTTACCATTTTTTTTAAATTTTAGATTATATAATAAGAGATAATTTTTTTTAAATCTTTTAATTGATTTTATTTAGATATCATGTAACTTAAATTTAGAACCTTATATTTTCACTAAAAATAAATTACCAACAAACTATTTGGGTCATTAGTTGTATTACCATAATTTATGTACCAACATCATTGAGTACATCTTCTTATTCAAAAAATTTGTAGACGTAGAGGTCATTAAACTAGTCCATTGAGATATTACCTTGTTCATGTACAATTAATGTACTCAATTATTTTATGTATCCATAGAAGGGTTTGTGCTGAGTCATTTGTTCGGTATCTTCAAACCAATTAATTCAAAGAATTAAATTAAGTAGTAGCATCTTCGAGATATCTCTAGTGTATTTCCTCTATCCTTCCCCCCAAAATTGTATATACTTTCAACGTGTAGGAGGAACAAAAAGACAAGATGCTGAGAAGCAACATGCTAGTATGAAGGAAGATGCTTCTATACCATAAACGCGGCTTTCATCTTTTTAATCAACCAACGAGTTTTTCCTTTTGTTTAAAGTTCAATGCAAATGCAAGCAGACGGGGCCGAACATTTCTCGGCGGAACACCGTGTCTGAATTCTTTGGCATGAAGTTTACTCCTCAACAATTTGGGTTTCATTAAAATTCAAACATTATTTTGTTATAAAAAATTAAAAATTAACAAGTAAAGTAAAGTATTAAACTAGTAGTACTCTTTTTTAGAAAAAAAAATTACGAATGAAATCTACAATATATTGCGTGAAAATTAA